ATCTTCCTTGGAACGTCACTGTCGTAATCAACCTCCCTCTCCCGCAGCACCGTAATGTCAGCCCCAACCCTGCCACAAACAGGAAAGAAAGGAGTGAGACACACTTGTACTCGGCAGCTCTTGCACCTCTAGAATCACTGCTAGCAAAGTGAATGGGATGAAAGCTGGGGATAGCAGGGAAGGAGCCTCAAGCTTCCAGCCCAAAGCCCTATAACTGCCTTCACATTTCCAGAGCTTCATGATAAGGGAATTTCAGTCATATGGGGGCTTTGAAGAATGGAGCCCCTTACTCCTCGAGGCACTCCTGGGGCCGAACCTCTCTACTGGAGGTTGTTTACCTCTTCGGGTCCTGCAGATGAAAGGGAACACGTACTTCTCTGCCATACGGCGCAGTGTCTTGAGCGAGGCACGCATCTCCTCCTCTGAGAGGCCCACCAGCAGCCCATTGTCCTCGACGCCGATCTGATAGACAGCCTCGCCTCGGCCTTCCTGCAGTCGCCATTTCATCTGTGTCACCAGGTGCTCAAAGCGATATTGCGAGGGATTCACTAACTTTAGCTGTTTAACAGAGGGAGGAGTTATAGCCACAGCCTGGATGCAGAAGGAATCCCCACTGCTCAAGCCAGCAACTCCCTAACCCAACACCATGAAGCAATGGCCCCAACTCTGACCCGCCTCTAGAAAACACAGCCCATGTTAGTGTTTGCACAGAAGCCACAGGACAAGGGAGAAAGGGTTTCACAAAAGTGCATACATATGGCAGAACTTTCCTGCATCTTGCCAAGGGATCTTTACCCTGCCTGCTGGGGGGGTAAAGACAGCACTGTGGGACCTATCTGTGACACAGGAGCCAAGTAAGTGCAAATGGCAGAGCAACCACAAGAAAGTGACGAATGATTATCAGGGACACAGGCAGCGCTCTCACAAAAAGAAGATTTCAGGAAAAACACAGTACGTTTCATCTCCTAAAACAGATTCCTAAAAATGAGTACTGAGTTCAAACTGTTCCAAGCTCAGCATACTGGGTATTGCTAGGCACAGAGACACAGAAGATGACTGATAGTTCCTTAGTACAGCGTCCAACTTCCCTGTCCCTTCCTTGGACGTGTCTTTGACCTGGCTGTCTTTGGTGAAGTTAGTTACTTCAGAATAACCCTCCGGGAGGAAGACCTCCTTCTGCAACCTCAAAAGGCTCACCTTGTACTCGATGTTCCCATCTTCTGCCTGGTCAGAGAATGAAACAAGACAGAAAGGTTAGAAGCTGTGCCAGAAAGATTTTCTATAAGCATCAGCTGCCCAGATACTCTTCAGCTTATGCTGACAGTTTCAGAAAGAGGGAAAGTGGCAGAAATATACTGTGTTAGGTCACAGACGCTTCTGCCATTCATTCCTACACTCAACTGGAACTTACTTTGGGTTTGTTTCTGCTCTTAGCATCCCACACTGTGAAAACTAGAGGACAAAACTAGAGAGGGACACAGAGGGTAATATTGTTTTGAGGGGGATTTTTTTACTACCAGTAAAGAATAGGGACAGTCTAACAGTCACAGAGAGAGTGTTCCAGTTTCAAAAAGGCACAGGCCAGCAGAGGATTAAAAGTCTGCCCCCTCACTCATCCATGACCCACAATGCCACCCACAGCATCCCACTCCCGCCCTATCCAGCAGCTTCCATCCACCCAGTGTACACAGAAACAGGGGACTGGGAACAAATGTCACTGCCTCCTCTCCTGCACACTGATACCCTCCCTCAATTAGTTTTACACTGGCTCCTTTCCATATCCTTGTGTACCTTCTTTCTGCAAGAGAGAAGGATTACAGACATAAGGAAGCAAGCTACTGACTTCTTTGCAGTACAGCATGCTGGTCACTGGCATAGCAGCTCTGGAGAACCAGACCTGATGAGGACTGTCTGTACACCTGCTCATAAGAACTTTCCCAGGAAGGGCTGGAGCCAGACTGGGCTGTCACAGAAAGGCAGGGGTACTCATCAAGCTCACTGCGACCACAACAGGCTCCAGCTTTGCAAAGAGAACATATAGCCAATATCGAGTAATTTTCCCACTGATTCAGCCTAAGGACCACTGAGAAACGGCTGGAGCCTGCAGAAAGCCAAGTACTCCGGCAGACTAAATGGGGCTGCCAACACTAAGAACTTCCTTTTCCTCTGGACACCAATTTGCGTGTCAGGAAGAGGTAATAGTCCTCTCCTTGCCTTCTAGCTCAGCTCCTAACCACAGTGGTGCTTATAGTGGCAAAAGGCCAACAGAAGTTCTGAACTGTCAGCTCAGCACTCGGGCAGCAGAGCTATGCAGTGAGAAAAGGGTACTTGCGGGTGGTTTCCTCCGCTTACCAGCTGTAAGAAAAACACATTCATACACTGCCCTTTCGTCTCAATATGGGGGTGGGTCTCTTTCAAGGCAGCTGAGACTACAAAAGCAACAAGCCTAGACTTGCTGGGCCACATACTACACCGGGTAGCCAGGGACAGGAAGCTGTGCTGAAACCACAGGGGGCTGTCCAGCCTCCAGCTGCAAGGAACAAAACCGAAACTGGGGCTGCAGGGGACAATCCCGCCCGCGGAGAAGATCTAACAGTAGCAAGGCACTGTTCTCCCTTCTTGCCAAGAGTCACAGCCCTGCCTTGCGGAGGAACTGCTCCCTCCCAGCACAGGCTCTGACATATTTTACAGAAAGCTCACCGAGTGGGGCCAAGCAGTCGACTCCAGGGCAACGTAATGCTCCCCACGGTGGCAGTCTTATTAGTGCGGTGCCAACTGCTTGAACTAACCAACACACCCACTCGCTACCAGTGCCATTCTTCCTGCTATAAGAGGCAACTGCCTCACACTGTCAGTACTGTCTGCATCTCCATGTAAGAAAACAGTTGCCAAATTAGCTGGGAAGGGAGTCACTAGAACCTGCTGAGCAATGTCTATGAGTTTGGCAGCTGGAAAGAGACTTACACCCACCAGATTGGCTCTCGGGGAGAGATGCAAACAGGATGATTGGGACTACGAGTGGAGCAAAGCTTTATTTCCGAAGCTATTTAGTTCCCAGGCGGCAAAGCCCTCACAGGCAGGCACCTGGCAGTGAAATACCGCTAACGGACATGGTTTGGAGGACCACGCAGGGAGCTCGCCGGCACGGGGGGGCACAAGCACAGGGTGTCAAAGCCCGGAGGAGGCATCTGGGCGGGGGGGTGGGGGGCAGGAGGGCACACCCGCCAGGCTGCTGGCCCGACCCCGGCATGACACCGCCGGGACCCTCGGCCGAGCCTCTCCAGAAGGTGCTTCCAGCCTGACCCGCCCCGCCAAGCTGCGGGGCTCGCACCGAGCCGCTCGGAGGTGTGTGTGGGGGGGGGGGGGGGGGGGGGGGGGCCGTCCCTCCGCCGCCTCCAGCCCCTCAGCAGCAGCCCCCCCCCCACCCCGGGCCCTGCCCGGCCCTGACGGGAGCAGCGCCAGGCCCCGGGGTGGGGGCACACACACCCCCCCCACCCCCCAGCGCCTGAGGGGACGCGGCGGCCGTTACCCCAGCCGCGGGAAAGCTCACCTCGGGCGGCAGGTACGGCGGGTTGTTGGCCTTTCCCCCCCGGCTCCGCCCGTTCTTCTTCTTCGCTTTCGAGCCGCCGCCGCCGCCGGGCGCGCCCCCCCCGCGCCCGCGCAGCGTCCCACCCGCCCCGCCGCCCGCCGGCCGGCAGCAGCCCCCGAAGAGCTCCGACACCCGGGAATCCATGGCGGCCGGCGCGGCCCCGCCGCCCCGGTGCGGCGCCCGCTCCCGCCCCGGCCCCACCGCCCCGGCCCCACCGTCAGCCGCCGCCGCGCGGCGCCACGGGAAACTGAGTCCCGCCCCGCCGCCCGCCTACAGCTCCCAGCACGCCCCGCCCGCTCGGAACTACCGCTCCCGGCGCGCCCCGCGGCGCGGCCCCTCGCTGCCCTACGGGCTCCTTCCGCAGGGGCGGATGGGAGTTGGAGTCCGAGTGTGTGGGGGGGGGAAGGGAGCGCCACCTGGCGGTGGCCGCCATCGGCCGGTGCCCGCGTTTCCTCCGCGGCGCTTCAGCCCGGGCGGAGGGACAGAGCCCCCCCTTCCCGTGCAGCGCGCTACCACCACCCGTTCTGACAGGCAGCGGGGGGGCTGGGACGTTTCTGAAGGCGTTTGGCACCGGAGGTGCCTCGTAACTACACAGAAGGAGCAGCCCTGGGCAGTTACCCCAAAACACGCTCCTGCCGGGGGAGGGGGCCGGAGAGGAACAGTCCAGCCGTGCACTACAGCTCCTCACCGAGCCTCCTTCTCCGCCGCATCCCCCCTGGGGAGGACGTCGCTCGGCCAGCGTTTGTAAAACTTCCACCCTCCCTGGCGCTTTTAACCGGCGGCCGGGGTTGCGGGGCGGCTCCTCCCCTCGCTGTGTTTCGGTGGCTGCGCCCAATGGGGCTGCGGCCACGTTGTTTCCAAACACGGCGGCTCCCGCTCGCCGCCCGCCCCCGCCTCCCAGCGGCGGCAGGAGCGGAGCCCGCCGCGGGACCAAGGGCCCGGACCCGGAGGCAGCTCAGCGGCCCGGCGGGCTTTGCCCCCCTCGCTGCCACGCACCTCGCAATCGTGCTCCGGGTGGGCCCCGCCACGGAGGTGGGGGGCGAGGAGTGGGAGGGGGGAAAGAAACCCAGTTGACCTGTTTCCCGGAGACCCACCTCGCGCAGCCACAGGCGACAGCACCCGTGGCCGGGCTGCGGCTGCCGCTAACCCCACCGAGCGCGCCAGCAACTACCCCACGCTCGCCGCCCCGCGTGGCTACCAAGCCCACGGCAGGAGAGGCGAGCGGGCAGGGCCGGGCCAGCCCTTCCCAGCTCACTCCCCGCGGCTGGGCTGGGCCGAGCCGCCGGGCGGAAACCCCCACTCCGCCCCCAACAAATATGGCGCCCGCGCCGCCGGAAGCCGCGCCGGGCGGGCGCCCCGCCCGTCCCATGATGCCTTGCGGCGGCGGCCATTCAAATCCCAGCCGGCCGCCCTCCCCCGGATAGAAAATGGCGGCTCCCGGCGTTGCTGTAGTTCCCGGTCTTACCCGAGCCGCCTCTTCCACATCCCCGCGCCTTGCAACTGAGGCGCCGCTGGCTCTGGATCGTGATGGCGGCATGAGGCCCCGGCGGAGCGGGCCGGTAGCGGCCTGCCCCTCAGTGTCTGTGGTGTTCCCGGGCCCTGTGAGCCGGGAGAGCTGCTGCCGCTTCGCCTGCGAGCTCCTCAAGCACGTCCTGCACCAGCGGCACCAGCTCCCGCTGCCCTACGAGCAGCTCGCTTACTTCTGCCGGCGGGCGGTGCAGGTGAGGGGGGACCCAGGGGCGCCGTGCGTTTAAATTTTGCCTGCTAACTGGCTGTTCTAGCTCAGTAACTCATATGTTACTACGTCAACTGCTTCTAAAGTAAGGCGTTTGTTGTAGCTGTAGCCTTAAATGTTACCACTTCATTTGAAAAAAAAAAAAAAAAAAAGCTTTAAATTAGGTGGCTAAAAGTCTTAACGTGTTACTATTTATCTCCTTTTACCCTAGTTTCTGCTCAAACCGTGTTTGTTTGTTGCTCAAACAACTATAAGGAAAAATGTGGGGTTTTTTAATCTTAAGTGACTTTAAAGTGATAGATGATCTTTAAAAGATGGGGTTTCTAATTCTTGTGGGAATTAATCAGTGTGATTCAGACTAAAACTGAGCAGCTGTAGAGCAGCCTTTTGTGTTCCTCTTGGATCTTCTGGTTCTATATGTGGGTACCCATGTCTCTTAAAAGGAGCATAAATCCCCCTGAACCTTCCTTGACTTTCAGGGATGGGCTAGGCCAGGCTTCCCGAAGAGTATATTAGGACTGATAAGTTGTAGTAATGAAATGTACTAACCTTTTTTGGTTTTTTTCAGGATGGAGATGTGATTAAGAAGCCACCCTCCATGGACCTGGCAAGCAAGAAGTGCCAACAGGTGCTGATGGAGCTGGAGGGAGTGTTCCAGCACTTGGAAGTAATGTTTAGTTTGACACCAGTTCCTCGAGTACTCATTCTACTTGGAGGCAATGTCATGAGCCCCAAGGAGCTCTATGAGCTCAACTTGGAGGGTATTTGTGAGGGCAGTGCTGAGGAGAGCCTGAAAACCACATCCTGTGTTCGCAAGCTCTTTCACTCACTCTTTGTTGCAGATGTCTTCAGTGAACTTAAGGCTCTCCCTGTCACAGACACTGTTGTTATGCTCCAAGGACACCGCGATTGTGGTGTTGATTGGTTCCGGCCCAAGCTCAACTATAAAGTGCCGACCAGAGGAAGGAAACTAACTGTTAACTTGTCCTGTGGTGGAGACATCAACATAAGTTCCTCGCCTCCTCAGCATATGACTTCTACTTGGGAGGACTATATATGGTTTCAAGCACCTGTGGTGCTCAAAGGCTTTCGTGACTGACCCGTGCTTTGTAGAACTTTTAATGGAATATTGAATAACCTTTGGTGCTGCTTTAAATGATAATAACTATCAAATGTAACGATGTATTCTTGTCTGTCTGGATCCCTTCTCCAGGGCATCTACTGCCTTACTCTAGCTTAACTGTGTTCATCTGTCTTCACTTCCTGAATTGTTGTTGAAAGCAAATACCCTTTAAGACACAGTTGCATGCAGATACAGGGATTCTTTAGGGACCTGAGTTGTGCCAGAGGAGGTGTATTAGTCTGGTGGGAGTAAAACTTTTTTGCCATATATTTACTGAATTGGCTAATACTGGATATGGTGGTGTCTCTCACGAGTTTTAATGTGGCCATTTCTCTGGTAATAATTGGCTGATAGTTTGGGACTCTAGGTAATATATGTGATTATTAATATACTTTGCCTTCACTATAAAGGCAATAACCATTCTTACCTACCCTCTTCCTGTAAAAGGAGACCTTTACCTTCAGTCTGATCAGGCTTGAGTACTCAAGTGTTTGCCTGTGTGTTTGATAAAATTAGCCTTCCTTATAACTCAATTTCAGTTACTTAATAATCCAAAGAGTGGCACTTCTCAGCAATTGGGAGGTCTTGTACTGGTGGTGAAAAGAGGTTGAGCAGTCCTGTGGAAGCAGGGAAGCACATTTTCCTTTTTTTTTTGTTTTTTGTTACAAATCATTAGCTCAACAGTCCTGACAATCACTTAGATATACAGTTAAAAGTAAGCAGTTTTTGCTCTAACACTCTTCAGAGCAAGTTAGGACTTCTGCCCCTACAGGCTAGTTTATTCTCACATAAAACAACAACAACAGTTATGTTCCTGCTTACTTTTACATCTCAGAAGTCTTAGACTAAATGTTTCTGAAATGTAAAGAAGAGATGAGGGGAATGCGATCAAGTTCAGCACTATCTTTACTTGTCAAATTTCTGTTGTAAATCAGAAAGTATTACTTGGAAGCAGAACTTGAGCCCTTTCTTTTGGCCTGGTGTCTAGTGCAGAATGGGACAGAGAGGGTGGGAGAGGAACTTCTAGAGCACAGTGTGTCAGAGCTGGGTACCTGCTGGAGTAATCTTCAGTCAGCTGGGTATGTATTGGTAATATAATGAGGTTAATAGCTCTAAATAGTTCTATCCCCTTTGAAGAGAAACTTGAGCCTACTAGTAGTGAGGTTGCTTGCGGTTTTGTGCTAGCAAAAATTGCACGATGGGGTGGTAAAAATAATTTGAAAGGAGGGTAAAGGTTGAAGTAACGCTCTAAACTTGGTGCATATTTTAACTTTGACCTTTTGGAATGGAATGAGGTTATAGAACTAGGAGGAAATTAAGCTGATATTTTTGAGTTTGGCAAACACTAGGGAGTGCTGTCTCTGCCTTATTATCTATTGACAACTGTTGACAATAGTAGTCATAACAGCTAAAACTAGCTGTAGATCAAAAACTGCTAGGATGAAGAAAGCTGCCTTATGTGCAGCTGCCCACTTGAATATGTAATTGCAGGACTCTTGAATGAAATATAACTTGAACCTAGGAGTGTTTGTGCTCAGGAGATCAAATCCCTTTACACTGCCACCAAAGCTGCTTGTAATGCATATTTAAGAATGCTAACACTCAAGTATTTAAAGAAGCTTTTGAACAGAAGCCTTAGTTCTGAGGAACAAGGGGCCAGTTCCTTTCTACTCTTCCCCAAATGAGTGCAATGTTACTGCATTAAACTGTTTACATATTCTCTTATACTTGAACTATGAATACAGCAATGATATGGTGCTGGGAATGAAAGAAGACAAGATACTTTTTTCTTATGAAGAGATTTAGAGCTTGATTAACAAGTTTAGTACTATAATCATTATCAAAATAAAATGCTGGCTTCTTTATGTGATTACATTGGATTTATTTGAATCCCTCAATGTAAAGGTTCTGCTGATGGCAGAACAACTTGCTTCTATTCTATATATGTATCTAAACTGCAGGTTCACAGCTGTTCTACCTTTCTGACAAAGTGGATTATGTCTTGTGCCAGAAGCTTTGGTTCCTCAAATGCAGCAAAATGTCCTCCACGTGGCATGTAAGAGTAAGTGATGATGTTCTTGAAGACCTCCTTTGCCCAGACACGTGGTGTATGTGCTACCTCCTGAGGAAAAGCTGCAATCCCCGTGGGCACATATACTCCAACCCTGGAAGACAAAAGTTAACTGCATTTGGGAAAGTCTGTAAAAACCTTCTGCCTCTGGTAACTGCCACAGTCAGCTGGAGAAGTTTCACCATAGCAACCCATTTTGCAGTCTGTACTCTGCTGAAGAGCTTCACTTGTATTTGGATCTCCTTGAATTTAAGAATGTTATACTTGAAAATGTGTAAAGTAGAGCCAACTTTGCACACAGCTCAATCTTGAAATGCTTCAGATTTTTAAGTTTACCTTGTTTTGTAGTTTTGTGATATGTGGCAAGATGCCATACCTCCCTGTGAAAGTCAGAAATGAGCTAGCTTATGTTTACTTTAGAATTTATGGTACTAGTGTAACAATGGAGTCTGTTGAGAGGAGAGGTAAACTGGTTTGGTCTACAAAGAAAAAAAGCTCTCCTATTTGTTTGTATGATCAATCACTTGGAGAATTCTGCTCAGCAGCATTTTCCTGGTCAGCCTCTCAGAGCCATCTTAAAGCCACCAGCTCTTAGAAGGTGCTTGATTTCAAGTACTGCTCTCCAAATTCCTTCCCCAAGTTTGTGCTAAAGTTGTAGTTCTTAGTTTATCCACCAGTAAGCCCTATCCTTCCTAATTCAGTTTAAACTTCTCTCTTAGAAATGCTCATGATTTTCTGTTTTGTTTTTATTGTACTGAGCTACAGATTACATTTGTTTGGTGAATAAGTATATAGACCTGTATTTTGAACACAAATGACTGAATATACTTTAAGTCTTCTGCATTGACTTGGCCACAAGCTACCTTGTGTGTATTTTAGGCTCAAAAAAAAGTGACCCTTAACTATATTTATCAAAAAAACAAAAATCTCAAGGTCTTATTTTCAACTGGTTACATTTGCTGTTGTGATCTAAATGTTTATACAGGCAAATGTGGTTCAATCTCGTTTGGAAATCCATCTTGCACCTGCCACTTCATTACCTGGCATCAGCAGTTATACCAGTGTCCTTGGAGAGGTTCTCCTTGTAGAATCGCATTGAGGACACAATGGAGGATGTTACCCAATATATCATCACATTGGTCAAAAGCTCATCAAGGGAGTATTTGCTGTTGAGAGAGAAAGATGAAGAAATTGAATTGGAAGCTGTTTCTCAATACGCTGTATCGGGTTCATGCCCTCAAGAACAGTTGTTCCTCTTGTTCTCCACTCATTTTCAAGCAGCAAATTAATTGGCACCCATGTGTCCAGAGGAAAACTGCCTGGTGCTGAAAGAGTAGTTTGCAGGCAGTCTGCTATAAGTTTAAACTGCTACTTCTCATGTGTCATCTTTCATCCTTAAAATTCATCTTTGGCCAGTCTTTTACCTATCTCCTTATTAGTTATCATCAGTCATTCTTTTAATGAGTCTTCTCAAGGAAGAGCATCTGTTTTCTTACCTTTCCAAGCCTCCATCATCTTTATGCAGAAATGATTTATCTGTCCAGGTAGAGAATTTCTCCAAGATATATGCAGCAAGCCCCACAGGGGAGTCATTCAGTCCACAACCTAATTCAGGAGAAGAATGGGAGAGCTGTTGCAGTTGCCTGGCAGTGCAACACTTCAGTGGAGTTTAAATTGGACTTTCATTAATTCTTCAGTTTTCTATGAGGATTTAGTAGAGTCTGTATTTTACTAGCCCTGATAGTACTTTATTCTTCACAAATTCAACCCAGTGGAATTCTGGCTGTAATGGGCAGCACTACAAACTTGGGTAATTCCTACTCAAAAGAAGCTAGAAGCTAAGAAAGTCCTGTTGGCTTCTTGGTAATGTGGGGCAGAAGGAGCAAATTCAGATGTAAAAGGATTACAGTCTGAAAATAATTATTTTATAAACTATTTGGGAGCACTGTCCTGTTCAGGATGGATAATCAGGACCCTGAGTGCTGTTTATCACTTTATCTACTTTAGAGCGTTGTGTACCTGTTATCTGTTCCTGCCTTTGGGGAACACTGACAAACTATAAACACAGCAGGTACACAGCATATATCTGTGTTCTTACCTGTAAAACAGGGATAGGGATTACTTCAGTAGTGACAGAGGCTTGCCTTGGGAAAATTCCTCTACCGTACCCTAGGTTGTAGTTTTACAGAATTCTCACTACTGCTTACTCTTGTGTATTTTATCATGACTTCAGCACTGAGTGACTTTGTAAAAGACAATGCACAACATCGTCACAACTGAACAGTGGACATAGCTAAAGCAAAGGAAATTTGTTCATTGGCACAACAGTTTCCCTGCGCTGGCAGTCCTGGGGTGATTTGCTACAGGTGAAAGTCATGGAAATGCTCTGACCAGCAATGGTAGGGCAGGCTAAAATATGCCAGTTAGCACGACCCCTCTGGAGATGAGTATTTTCTGGGCTGAAAGCTGCCTCTGAACCACCGCATTCAACATCCAGGAATTAGATGCTCAGAAATACCAGTCTTGTTTGCAGCTTATTAGTCATTCAACCTGTACCACAGCTTAGGTACTGCAACCTGTGGTGAGTGAAAATACCCGAGCTTTCCTTTAAACCTGCTTAATGAGAACTAAACTGATAATGTAGATATTTCTTGAGAGCGAGCAGGGAATACATGTTTTTTCTTTATTCATTTTCTACATTTCACAATAATAGTGTACTGCAAAATCCCTACTCTTCTTTTTCTGGGTTGAAGAGTCCTACACTATGTACAGTGCTTGTACAGAAGCTGCTTGGTCACTTTAGTCTTCCTTTTCTCCCCTTCCTGTATTCTTCTGATTCTAAAATATATTTATGAAACAGGGTGAACTGGGGTGCAACAGATTCTGAATATCACGGATTTAGTATTTTGTCTTAGACTCTTTTTGCTTTCTTTAAAAGCTTGTAAGATTCTCTTAAACTCTGAGCCAGCTGATGTTTCAAAGCACTATCCATGACTCATGGATTCTCTCATATGTCAGCAGCTAAAGTAGAGCCCACTGTGATTTTCTTCCTCTGCTTAAATGGCTTTGGACTTAGTTGACATCGGTATTTATTGGCCAGTTTAATCAATCAGTCACTTAAATGTTTTTGCAACTCTCTGCAGTTATCTTTAGATTAAACAAAACCCTGGATAAGTGTAAAATTTTCACTTAATGATTAACTTTTATCAATAGAGAAATTAGGAGGACGTTGAAATGTGAAGCTGCCAGCACAGATTTTTACGATATTCTCACTTCCCTGAAAGCTACTTACTTATTCCTATGCTTGGATTCTTTACTAGTTATTAATCCAGTAATTTAATAATTTTCTTAAGGCAATTTAATTTCTTTAACACTGGGGGAGGAACATCAACAAAACTTTTTTGGAAATGAAATATGTTCTATTACTCGATCCACAGCTCTCTAATTCTGTCAGAACTCTGATTTTTGAATCATTTCCCTGTGGTGTTATCACCTGCAAATCAATTTTCCTCTTTAAAATAGTTTTGCTAGTTTTCTGATCAGAGACTAGACATAGTGGTCTTTGTTTTTCTGGGTCTACCTTCACTGTTTGGCTCTTAAACCCTGCCCCCCACAAAACCCCAACTTGGTATCTTGTTTGTCTCTTTATTTCTTTGGTGGTGTGATCAGTTCAAGCAACAGACTAGGCATTAGTTGATGTTTCAGTTTCAGTTTCTTCTTTTTCAGTGAATTGCCAGGATGGGGTGCTATTCATTCTATGGTGTCCACATCTGACACCAGTCTTGAGACAGCTCTGCTGTCTTTCCTGATGAGGGATTATATCAATAAAGGAATACCCCACAATCCTTGCCAGCGGTGACTGATGCAAATAATTCATTTAAGTTTTCTGAGATGGCAATATCTTTCTTCAGACTTCTCATTTACTGACCCCACTATGTCAGGCTTCTGACTTTTCAGGTGTTAGGGCTGTGTCTACCTTTCTGCAAGTTTCACATTGCACTTGCTTATAATATTTTTCTTGGTTTCACCCACATTTATTTCTAGAAGCTTCAATTTCAGGACCCTGTGCTTTACTTTAAGAGTCTTTTCACAAAGGGGTTCTTCCCCCGAGAGAAGTGGCACGCCATTTAAAAGTGATGTCTGTACTCTCCATCTTTTTTTAAGCTGTTCCTTTTAACTTCCTTTTACACAGTTCCTGTCCCCATGTCTTGCATTCAATCCCCAGAACTCATTGCTTCTCAAACACGGTTGGCATTTGTTCAACTAGAAGTTTTTATATACCATAAGCAGTTAGTATACAATGTGCATAGCAATATAGAGAAGGTTCCTTACCTGCAGTGTCTGGTTTAGTGGCTTGGATGTGTAAGTACCCAGACTCACGCAGAAGATCATATATATTCTTCTGGATGAAAGGGTACATACGTCGAACATCTTCCCTAGTGAGACCTACAAGCCATGGTACATAAGCCCCAAGCATCACAGAAATGATCTTTCTCAAACCTTGTTTGCTGACGAAGACGACGTTCAGATGAAGCCCTTTCACAGATCTAAAATTAAGTTCATGAATAGAAGGTTAAATCAAGCTATTTTCTGTCTCTAAATTTTCTAGAAAACAAGCCTTACTGGAGCTGTGATAGAAGCATTTCACTGAGCCAAATACATAAAGCCCTTCAGGTCCATCATGATTCAAAAAAAAAAAAAAAAAAATTAAGGGAGTTAGAAATGATACAGCTGCTGCCATCTCCATCCAGCTGTGCCACTAGTATGATGTTAGCTTTAGGTGCTCAATTTCTGGATGTGTCATATTGATGCTGGTAGCTCTGGCTGTTGATCCGGTGTTGTTCTGTACTGTAGGGAACAGGCTGTGTCAGGTATTTTCTGAAAAGCTTGAGTAGATCACATGTGGCCACAGTGTTCTGGGTGCTGTGCAGCACAACTGCAATTTGGGACAGTGAGCTGTTCAACCTGCAATCTACCTGATTTAGGAGCTTTCCCACTTCATCTGTTCTCTGACATAAGTGTGGCTGCGGTGCCCACTTTTTATTAAATGTTAAACAATGAGCTGTGATACCATCTCCTCAGGAAGGTATTGTGTTTCTTTTCCGATCAGCCTCAACTCTGCATTTTAGACAGGAAAGTCCTATACGTCATGGTACTGTTCAGCTGCTGAAAGGCTGACTGACTTCCTTCCTCTTCTCCCTGCTGATTTTAAATTTATCTCCTTCCTGATTTAGAATGATGATCTGTCTCCTTGAGGTCTCAAATCAAAATGCAGCAGAGTTTACTTCCACAGCTAGTGAAAGAGAAGCCAAACAGCACTGAAATTTAGAAAGAGTGAGAACTGTGCCAATATCAATGCAAAGAGTATGAATACAACCAAATGCACAGGCGTGGGGACGTTCCTGGAGGAAACAAAGCAAAAGGGGATCAGAGGCAGGGCAAATAGAAGGCAGGACCAGGACCATGGAGCCAGAAGGTAGGGTAAGAACTAGAGGCAGCTTTTCTGGACTGATTCCCTTTGCTACTCACTGTGGCAGCATCTGGGCCATGTTTGTGGTAATACGAGATCCCCAGTCTCCTCCCTGTAGGTAGTATTCCTTGAAGCCCAGTCTGTTCATCAGCTTATGAAATATCCGAGCAGTTGCTATGCAGTCAAAGCCTGTAGGTAAAGAGAAACACAGGAGACCTGTTTGTTGTAGTGTGCATCCCCTGGTCAAAGATTGTGGCCTGACAGAGACATGTGAGTATGCTGCTGTGTGAAGGCAGAGTGTGCTATGCAGCTCTGCCTCACTCCTTGGCCCTAAAGTGAACATACAATGATAGAAACTGAGTAGAATGTTGAGAAAGTGGAAAGCAGACCTGGCTTCCAGCTACTGCCTTCCAAATCTCCACAGCCAGCCCCAGAGCCTCAGCCATGTGGATGTTAGTGCAGAGCCAAGCACCTGCATTCAAAAACTGCAGTGCCCAGGGGGCCTGGGGATGGTTGAGGTGTTACTCCAAAAATCTTGTGATTGCAAGAGAGCCTTTTCATCACTTACCTTTCTGGTGTGGTGCCTCTGAGAAGCCATAGCCTGGGATGGATGGGCAGATGACCTCGAACACCACGTCACCCTCATTCAGGCCGTGCTCAGCTGGCTCCGTGAGCAGAGGGATGATCTTGTAGAACTCGTAGAAGGAGCCAGGCCAGCCGTGGACCATCAGCAGAGGTTGAACAGCTCGACTGTGAGGGACGTAGGAGGGCTTCACATGGATAAAATGGATATCAATCCCTGCCACACATCCAAGACAGGTAAATTAGAACTCTGGTTCCATCACAGTTTCTGCTCTGGACTCTGAAGAAGGAGGGTGGCAAAACTGCAATTAGCATTTGTAGCAGAAGTTATACATTCAACCCATGGCAAGAAGATGTCTAGCTGAAAGGGGATGCCCGGTATTATACCTTTGTCTCATCTTTTACAGACAGAGGTATTGAGCCCATATTGAGGTCACAGGAGATTGAGCATCCATCTCCTGAAAAACTAGTCTCACAGTATACAAGTAGAGCTGCACTTAAATGAATAGCATAATGCAGGTAAACACATGCAAAAACATGACAAAATTATAAAATATATGGGTGATAAAAAGAGAAATATGAAAAAGTAAGTGCAAGATAGAAGTTTAACCTGCAGATCATTTACCTAAAGTCTGGCTAACCTTACCTGGCTAAACTGGGTAGTGGTAGTGGATATTCTAGCATCAGAGTATGGATAAATTTTGCCATTTTCAAAGGTGGCTTCAAGGAAATAAGCAGAAGAAAACCTCATCATTAGTTAGCATAGGTTCAGAGTCAGATGAAGCCCAACTTGAAGCAGACATAATTTTATTGCCACTGTGTAACTCTTAATCTACAGAAGGTTATTAGTAATATAGCCTGCACTAGGGATATTTCACTCATATCACTAAGCAGACACATACTGGTGTCTTAAATAGCGTAACCTCTTAAATCCCCCCCTTCTCTGGGTGCATTTCAGATTGAGACCTGCTCAAGCCACAGGGACCCCCCCTCACCTTCAATGGTGGTTCGAAAATGGGGGTATCTGTTCAGCACTTCCACTTGCTTGCGCCAGTCGAACTTGTTCCTCCAGTAGGCCACCACCTCCTGCAGGTAGCCGGAGTTGAAGCCGTAGTGGAAGGCGGCCCGTTCCAGCGGCGGTGCGTAGCGGGCCTGCTCCAGGCGGCGGTGCAGGTCCTGTGGCGGGGGAGACCTTCTGGCGAGGCGGGCCAGCTGCCCGCACGTGCCCTGTGCCCGCGTGGGCATGGACGGGCTCCCCCGGCTTTGCCAGCTTTTGTATCTCTATCTGGGACACCACGAGCCCTCCTGAAGCAGTCCCATGCTTCTGCACAACCTCCTGAATCCTTTATATGGGGAATATATTTTTCTACAGGTTATCAGTTCCCCTAGGGCACCCAGGAGTACTGGATCCTACTTTTTCCTTGCTGCTAACTTGCTTTAGTGGTTTTGGCACTAGGAGTTTGGCAGCACTGCTGACTGGGAGAAGACTAAGAAGCTCAGTCTGAGCTGTTGACTGCTGGTTGGCCAGATAATTAGGGACAGGCATGTAGGGACAGAGGTACTACGACACAGTCAAGACCCTGTCCCTCTTCACCTTTGTAGCCCTTCCTGCTGTGGAGGCCACTCAGTTCTGTCTCTCCGGTGCCACTGTTGTCCCAATGCCCTCCCACCCTGCTCCACCATCTGCAGACCCACTGTCAAAGTCTGCTGCTCAAAGTGTGGCCTTTCTGCAGGAGCAGCCCCAAGTTGCATGGAGGGTCTGTGGTCTCAGAAAGTCTTTATGGGACATCGTAATGAAACTGGGCTCAAATACCATTCATAAAGGGCAGTGAGCCACAGCATCATCTAATGGAGCTAGGTGGCTACACTGGTGTCACCCCCAAAGACATCATCTTGAGACAGTAATGTGGGTGATGAACTGGGTCTACCTTGCTGCTTTCTGCCCTTCCTTACATCCCAGCCACCAGTACCTCGATTTCTTTGTCAGATGTTTCAATCTTGAAGGGACGGATACTTTCATCTTCTTTCCATTTTAGGGGTCTTTCACCTGACCCCCACCATCCATCGCCCATTTCAATAGTCTTGACCTTGTGTCTAGACCTCAGCCAGTAAACCAGCATCCCTCCAACCCCCAGGGTGGCCACAGGAACCAGAACTGCATTCTTCTGAGAATATTCAAAAGACCTGGGGAGGTATAAAATTATTTGTGTTAAGCAGAAGTGTGAAGGGTAGAGGGACTATGCTGAGGGTTGTATTCACATTGATTGGGCTTGAGCAGTAACAAATGCCTACAAATCCCACGGAGTCAGCAGGGACTGGGGGTTTCTGTTGTTTTTGAAGATCACAGGCAGGGTTACATCCACCAGTGATTCTTAGAGACTTCAAGTCCTCACTGACCAGAACTTGCTGATCACAAGGCTTCCTTGTCCCTCTCCTTGTGAACTAGGGTGCCCTGGCGGACAAGGATCAATAGGATACAGGCCTTTCTATTTTAAGGCAGGTACTGGAGTGAATGGGATAGTAGCAGCTGGACTCCTCCAGAAATAATAACTGCACAGACAGAATGGGCTGAGGGTCAGGAGCAGAGACAAGGGTCTTCAGCTGCTAGAGAGAGCTGGATGTGCTGGATATGCCCCTCTTGGGAGTGCTTTATACATAGCTCCCCTGGAGATTCAATCATCTTTTAGGGCAACACTGGCCTTTCACCATAGCTTTCCATGGCTAAGGGTCTCAGTTTGTCTGGTGTCCCTGTTTCTGTTCTAGATGGCAAGGTTTCAGACTTTCTTGAGGTGTGGGAGCTAAGTCACCAGAGTTGGTTTTAACAGACATGCAGTATATTTCAAAACTGTTCAAATCCTTGAGCAATCGGTCCTAAATGCAGTGTACCTTCCTGTCCCTCTGACCTGTGCCTCAAGCTCTTCAGCTTCCCTTAGGGATTAGTAGAGGCATCTGGGGCTATTGCAAGGGGCTGCAAGGGAACTGTGCCTGAAGATTTTGCTGTTATTTCATACAGGGTAGGGAAGGGACTATGCTGTGCCCCAACCAGGGTGTTAATCAAAAGTGGAGGCCTCAGCACAGAGCAGCCATTTCACTCACCTGATCCGGGTCAAGATGTTCTCCCTACAAAATAAAAAAAGAAAGAAAGAAGATCCTTATAGTCTGATAGTGTTGTCTGAATGGTACCAGCCCTTGGTGGTGGTGCAAAGAATGTCACCTGCTAGCACCGTTTACTGCCCAGCCATGGCATCACAAGCTGTTTAGCCACCTGGCGACATCTGCTATTATTTTTCCTACTTTTTGGATGGGACAAAAAGAGAGAGGCTCAAAACATTGCCTCTGCACAAAGAGACAATGTTTCTGGGCTGTGTTTTAGCTAGATAGTTTGTTGTGATAGTATTCCCTTCTTCATCACAATTTAGGTAAAAAGCACTGAACAACTGGGTAAGTGTCCTTGTGGTGTTCTATCCTACAAGTGGCTGTGTTACTTCAGCCAAGAAAATAGTTTATTTTGACTGCTGTGTAGGGATAGGTGCACAGCCTTGGTAGGGGACTTTCAAGCTCAAGGGTTATTCTGCTGCCAGACACGTGGTAATAACTGTGCTGCAGGGCTGGCATGACAACAGGCTTGTGGAACCTTTCCCTGTTCAGAGTTCAACTACTCCTGACTGGATACCAAGCTTTTGGGTCTCATCTGCCTGCAGGAAAAAGAAAACATACAAAAAGAAAACATACTCCTTAGTTCTCTTTCAGCCTGGTAGATTCTTGTTACTCCGCCTTGTGGAAGGCAGCTAGGTTAGGGAGCTGTTTGGTGTCATAATTACAATACCTTGAGACAAAAAAAAAAAAAAAAAAAAGACTTGAAACTCCATGGAAAAACAAGTCCGCTGGGTGTTTCTTTTTACCTAGTATTGTCTCCCACTGCTGCCTGTGATGCAGAACGACCCTAGCAGTTGCCAAAGCAATTTGGTAACAATCTCTGATACAGCCTATGTGTGATTTTTAAGGAAGTGTCTCCTTAAACTGCTCCCAGACAAGGAAGAACAGGGCTCCTGATAGCAAATAGTGTCAGCCTCCACCTCTCTGGAGGCTGAGCAGTTTATGCAACAGGTAATAATATCCCTCTGCACTTACATCCCAGAGTTTAGTGAGTCAGAGGCATGAAACCAGTTATCATGGCAATAGCACGAACTCGGCACTGCTAACAAAGCAAGCAGTCCCAGAAGCAGCTCTTTGAGCGGCACAAAGCAAGGCTCAGTCCAATAAAACCTCCTTCCCACTCACGCTCAGGAGAAGTCAGCTGCATGTTCGCATCCTCCGATGGCCTGGTGTCCCCACAGGGGCTTTCTCCCACCCCAACCCCGGGGAGCCCTGTTCAGGGTGCCACCTCCCCGCGCCCAGGAGATCTCACCAGGCGTTTGGAAGGATCTCCTGCCACATGTCTGCTCCTCCTCTCTCGGCCGCTGCTCCGAGCAAGCAACCCAGGTGTCTCCTCTGCTGGCTTTCTCTTCGGCAGTGACGCTCTCTCGGTGACAATGCAAGCTACATCATCCATTAGTGCCACCTATTGCCTAAGTGTGTAGTTGCAAATTGAGTTCAACGGGCAACTACAAAGTCCTGCATGGGGAGGGAATAGCCCTGTGCACCAGCACAGGCTGGGTGCCAAATGCATAGAAAGGGACTCTGCAGAGACTGGCCCGAGGTCCCCAGCTGAGCCTGAGTCAACAAGGTGTCCTTGCAGCAACGGCCAGCTGCATACAGGGCTAGATAGCAACCATGTTAGCCAGCAGGTTGAGTGAAGTGGTCTTTCGTTCTCTTCAGCACTTGTGAGACCACATCTGGAGTGCCATGTCCAGTTCTGGCTTTGCTGGTAGAGGAAAGACTGGAGTGAGCCCACCCTTGGTGATGTGGAGCCACCAGGCTGCAGAGGGGCTGGAGCACATAGCATACGAGGGGAGACAGAGAGACCTGAGCTTGTTCAGCCTGGAGAAGAGAAGGCAAAGGGTGGGATCTTATTGCTGTCTACCTGGTGAAGAGCGTAGGAAAAATGGACCCAGACTCATCCTGGAGGAGCAACAGTTGAAGGACAAAAGGCAATGGACACAAATAACAACAAGGGAAATTCTGGTTAGATATGAGGAGAAATTTGTTCACCGTGGAGGTATTTAGACACTGGGACAGCAGCCCAAAGAGGATGTGGGATCTCCATCCTTGGAGGCATTCAAAATTTGACAGGAACAAGGCACTGAGCAACCTGACCTACCTGAACCTGCTCTGAGCAGGAGTTGGGATGAGCTGACCTCCAGGTGTCCACTCCATCCTGTGTATCACATGGCTCCATTCCATGTGCACTTGTGATTTGCAGGAGCCAAAACAAAAAGGGAAAGCTAAGTTTTTAATTTTCCACAAAAATCAATGCTTTGTTTTAGCTCAGGGAATTAGATTTCATTTCCCTCATGGCTGGTGAAACCTTACTGGATAAAGGCTTCTCCTTCCTAAATCGTTGCGCAGTGTCCTTGCTGTGCTTCACTGCAGGAATAGCTACATTTTAGTGTCAGAGGAAATGATTCCTACCTCCATGGAATGCTCAAAGTGAAGTACCATCACCAGTGAGCTCTGTGACAATCAGGTCTCATATTGCTGTGAGTTCATTATGCAGCCACTGTGCCATCAAAAAGAGCCATCAGGATGAAAATCTTGTAAATTCTTCATTTGGTTGAAGTTCAATTTATTGCTACACCTTAGCTATTTCTGATTATGACCCTCTGGGATTACTTAGCTTTAAGGTTCTATTTCCCAAATAAAACCAGCTCTCTTGAGGCTTTTTGGAAGATGGTATCCCTGACTGCAGAGTGACTCTAGTTAGAAGACTAGAGAATTATTAGCAACAAGAGGAAAGAATTACAACCCATGTGGAAGGCAGCTGAGGACTCCACCAGGTGCCAGGTTGAGGTACAACAGGCTGTGATGTCTCCAGGAGACAAGAGACACCTCAGGAAAATTCTATTTCTTACTTAGTACTAGGAAAAAACATAAAGGCTGGTGGAGGAAGGTCTGGCTTAAACATCTGAGAGTGAAATTATCTATACCAGGAATGTGGGAAAAGAGCCAGCAGAGCTAGTTAAAGCTGCAGAGAAAAGATACAAATCTTTGCTCTCTGTCTAAAGGATTTTTTGAGAATCGGAATGGTTTTGCTTAAGATATAAGGGGACACACCAATGCCATTAACACCCTGGAGCTAAAAGGCAACAACCCCCACGCTGATAAATCTGAAATAGCTGAGATGTCAGGATCGCATCTACTGAAATGCAGGATATGTGCAGGAGTTTTGTGAGTGCTAGTGGGCAGAGATCAAAGGTTCCCAGAAAAAATCCCGCCATGGAATGCTACACCAGTTTGCCCGTGGAAAACGTTTTTTTCTCCTCTCTCTTACAACCTCTAGTGGCCAAAATGCAGAAATTCAGGCAGAAAATGCAGGAGTCAACGGGGCTGCCTCCGAGATGTTGGTGCATATTGCATAAATGGAAATGGGAATCCTACAGGAAAGGACCTGCAAAAGTTTCTCAGAGCATCTCCCTGCACTGGGGCAGGATCCCTTATCCTTAATGATACATGTCTTAGCAAGCCTGTTTTAAAAAAGCCTCCTTGGATCACTATCAGAAGGTTTTCTGCCTCTATCCCGGTGCTGTGATTTTTCTGGTTCAGCTGCTACTCTGGCATGGGGGGGCGGGGGGGGAGGAAAAGAGAGAATATAACATTTGATATACTGTATCTCACTATTGTATCTCCATCTAAACTTCCAATTGCTGCCATCCCACAATCTCTTTATGACTGGCATAATTTTATAAAGGGATTTCATAAGTTTCCATTACACAAATAACATACTAACAGAGCGCTTGTTTCCTATATTTTTCTCTTGCTCTTGTCACTGATCTGCAGGATCACCACAGCAGCAATGATAGAAAATGTGCACATGGAAATGTTACCATAATGTATTTTTTCAGCTGGTCTAGCAGCTGGATAAAAGCAGGAGTAGCCAAACACAACATAACCTGCCAGCTTTCCCAAGCCCATTCACTAATGCCGGCATAGTGTCACCTACTGGAGAAAGCACCCAAAGGCCAAGCAGCAGTTCTGCAAATACTGGGTGTCCTCTGTTGGGATAGAGGAGTTTGCAGTACACATAACACCACTTTTTTTTTTTTTTTTTTTTTTTGGGCTTTGTTTCTATTTTGGACTTCCTGTTTTTCTCATTGTCAGTTGCATACAATCATAATTCAAGCCTCATAAATACCATTAATACCAAAACCTGAGACACAGGCAGGAAAGCTGGTGACTTCTGGTTATGAAGTGAGCTAATGAGCAGTGGTAAGAGTAGAGCACAATGGCTTTGAACAAAGCTCTTTCATAGCCTGAGATGTCATGGCAACTTGGAAATGATTATTCTGACCTTTAGATCCATTGCAAGGCCCTTTTTGGGGTTTATTGCCCTGGCTGTAAAGAACTGCCCTTCATCTTGCAGTATGGAGGCTTTGCTGCATAATTTTCCTTTGCATGCACAAAATTAGGTTCGCTGCCTTAAGAATATTGCTAGAGAGCAAATGGTGCTCAGCAACAGGAGATCTTTATGAATGTGGTCTTCTGACTTATGCCAGGGACTAGCTCTCTCCTTTTTATCTGTCAGTGGCCACTACTGGTGAGCTGCTGGCTGGTGATGTTGCAGGGCAGGGCAATATCTGGAAGCTTCAGATCTCCACTATGTTCCTTCAGGCTCCCACAACCCTGAATGCCCCATGGTATCACTCTGTCTTTGAAATTCACCTTCTTCCTTTGCTTTTAAGAAAGGTCCTTAAGGGTAAAAAGGCTTTCCTTTGCTTCACTGGATCTTTATTCTCACAGGCCAAAGATGCCGACTGCTGTATTTCTCTGCATGACTTCTAGAGGGGAATGGTCCCCACAGTCCAACACGTCTGAGCTGAGACTGTCCATGCACATGCAACTCTCCCCCACTGTATGAAAAAAGCCCTGCTCAGAAATAGGATCACATGGGAAAAATCAAAGAGCTTACCACATGGCTGTGTCCTGGAGGTTAAGGAATAGCCCCAAGCACATCACCCTACCTGCAATGGATGAGCAAAGTTTTCATCTTCCCAGTGAGGTCGCAGGCCATTCAGCAGGTTGGTGGGAAATTTGTTTTTCACTAAAGTGTACTCCAGCCCTGAATGGCAGGCTCTGTGCACAGCATCAATGATGACATCCCCAGAGGAAACACTGAGCTCCTAAGCACTTCCAAGCTGTTAATTCCTGAATCTTATTAACAAGAGCCAGATCAAACATCCAAGAGCAGATTGCAGCAACACCTTGCTCCTGCCTCCACCAGCAGTGAGCCCACCAAGACTCTGTGCTGCTCTACAGTATCTTATATAAAACTCAGATTACAAGAGCGATGAACAATTTGGGATGACTAGGGACAATCTCCCATCCCCTCCTCCCCCTTCACAAATGCTCCTTTCTTGCCTAGAAAGTCCATCATAATTTTTGCAAGTCCCTTTTATCCACCACCACCTTTAGTCCTCTGGTCTGTACTGTATGTTGAATAAAAGTTAGTGTTTTACCCAGCTGGAAATGGCCCCTTCTCTGCCTCCCTTATTCTCAGGAGACCTCACAAACGTTTCACTGTTACCTCCAGCAAGGACTGGCCCCTTCTGTTGCTAATTAGGGAGGTTCCCCCAGGCACTTCCCAGTGAAACTGAGCCTATTAATTGAATGGCAGGCAACATCTCTGGGCGTGGGGAGCAAAGTTACACAACAGCTGCTTGGAAACCGGCAGTTTGTTACGTGTGCTGCTTTTAGAGACTCAGCAACATTAAAAACAAAAGCAACTTTCAAGTCCAAAACAGTGTATTTAGGTCACTGATACCCCGGGGATAATCTTGGGGATACTGGTGATGGGAGGCAGGCAGCAGGCACTGGGAGCTTGCGCTCAAAGTCTGGATGTGCAAAACGTGATGGTTCCTGCATGTGCGTGTTTGGGTCCTTGCTTTGCTCTGGGATATGGGTCCTGCTACGCTGCACACTAGGAGCATTAATCCTGGAGAGTAATGTGAGGCAGATCCCGCTGGGGCTTGGACGCATTGCTGGCATTTTGGTGAACACGGTGGAGGTTTGCGGGCTTGGCTCAGCTAACGCAGGTGCCCAGCAGCCTGGACATGAGGAATTTCTTCAAGGCAACCGCATACAATCAGTACAGATGCAAATTTAAACCCTGGTTGGTTTTGCCATTTTTGTTGTCTTACAATCTTAGAAGTGCGTTGTGTGTCTCCTGCAACTGTTGCTGCAAGCCATGTAAAGCTATCATCTTGCAAAGAAAGCAAGAATCATTTAAAGAAAAGGATGCAACTGACCCAAGGCACTTGAGGAAGGGATTAGTCTTAAGATGGGTAGGACAATATAGATATAAATATCTTATGGAAAAGAATATCCTGGGTGATTTGTCATTACTGGAGTGACAGAAGCATTAGTGGTAGAAACAAAGGCCTTATCTTCAACAAAGGGTTGCAGATAAATCAGTATGTGTAGGGGGTCTATACTCAATAACTTATTTAGTTTAACAAAAGAAGCTCTAAAAAAGCAATTATTGTATTTTGCTGAGGCAAAAAGAAATGGCAGAGAATGATCTCCATCCTTCTCAGAAACAATGACCGCTGCTGAGGATCCTGTAACAGTAACTATTCTCACAGGCCAGATCCCAAGTTTCTTTTCTCCACCCTTTCCTTGGCAAACTCCTGGTCTTGCTTTTGGTGGGCATGAGTGCTCAGCAGCTAGGAGAGGTAGGTGTGCTGCAGGAGGTGGGCAGGTTATGTCTGTCCTGTTGCTCTACTATAGCTCTGCATAGCCAACTTCCCAAAACTAGCCCTTACAAAGAAGGGCTTCGGAGGGAAAAGAAGAAGTCCAAAGCTAAGCATGGGTTTTGCAGACATCAACCGAGCATTAGGCACCCACAGAGCTCCCATGGGAGGCAGCCAAGCGGCTGCTGGAGCGTGTGAGCTCCTCTTTGTAGGCCTGAAGAAATGTGCAACAGGAGATGTGTTTTTTGAGAAGGCAGTCTCACGATGTGTTCAGTTCACTAGAAATGTTGGAAAGTTTTCTTCTCTGATTCTGTGCATTATTTCCTCCCTTTTTGGGAATTGTGCTAGCTATTTGGAAATGTTTCTGTGGCCTCCTTTCTGAATAATTATTTATTTTCTCTATGGTTTTTCCTACTGCCCATTATTAGTTGTTATGCCTACGTTGTGTAACAACAGCAACAGTAATATGAACAAACCCTTCACATCCAGAGACATTAAGAAAATTAAGACTGAATCAGTTGAACTTCTAACATAAGGATATGATTTTCATTTTTCATTAAAAACAGCTAGTCTGGAAAACCAGGGATGTTTGAGTATAATGTAATAACAGCACTGCAGACATCTCATCTAAAGAAAATAGCACTATGGACCTTGAGCCTTATACAAGGATCCACAAATACAGCTGGGAAAATAATTAGGTATTGTATTTTAAGATATCAGTCTGAATATGGTAAACAAGACTCTATCAACAAGTCTGTAAGTATATTTTTTTTTTCTCTCCTTCAGCTTTTCAGCATTCTTGGAAAGACTTATCTAAGCAAAATCCCAGCATACGTAACTGACTGGCCCTTCCCAAAGGTACAAGGATAAAGCCCTTTGCAAGTGGCTATTAAGAAAACTTGGCAACAACAGCTTGCAGGATGAATCCTTGCCAAAGATTAATAAGCAGTTCCGCAAACAGTGGAACTAATGAAGCTTCATTTCCTACACGTATTTGCAAAATACAGCTACTATTTGCAAATACAAAGAACTTGTATTTTGCAAGTACAAACACAAAAGCTTTCTAACTGAATTGTTCTAAGATTATGTTTTCTCTAGGTATGTTTATAAAATTCCCCCTCCAGTTTTCACGAAACATGTAGAAACACCTTTCAGAACTATTTTTGAAATCTTTCCTTGCTGAAGTTGTTGAAATCAGCAAACAGATCAAAAAGTTACTGGGAGAACACATCTATAGACACACCAAGTGATTGTACAAGCATTGGTTCTGCAGGGAGCAAGGAACTAAAGTGAAGTTGTGAAAAAAAACGTAGGAGAAAGCATCCATTTCTTAGCAGTGTTGCATTGACAGGAGTTGCGAGGCATCACCCATGATCAGCGCTGAGATGTACAGTAGCCAAGAATGATCCAGTCCAGCTCCTTTAGTTTCAATGGCAAAATCTTCAGTGCTGTTAGTGAGACCACAGCTTACTTTTGCACTGCACCCAGAGGATGAAGTGTTCAGTGAGGTGGCCAAATCTATGTAAGATACAGCACAGTTGGGAAAAAACTTCAAGCAGCCCTAGTGAAGTCTGCTCCTTTTAAACCCGATGCATGTTTGGGTATTTGCATTCAGTGGGAGCAGGAATGAAGCAAAAGTTAGGTAAGTGGGACAGTGTGATGGCAGATGGAGCTCTCTGTAAGCCAGTATAAGTTAAGTGAAGCTGGAAAAAAATAATTCACTTACCTAATATTTAAATGAAAAATTCTGAGTTAGAGCTAACCTCAGGAAAAAGCTCTGGGCACCTCTGTGGATAGCGCAGTGTTGAGAGAGGAAGCTCAGTGCAGAGCAGAGCAAAACCAAAATAAGATGTCATGTATTAAATAGGTCAGGAACATATATGTTACCATAATAATTCCCAAATAAATCATCTGTGTATCTCCACCTTAAAATCAATGTTAGGTATGGTCACTTCTGTAACAGAGGGGCAGAGAGAAATAGAAAAGGCAGGGAAAAAAGACGACATCATAATCATTGGGACAGTGGAGGCTGTGATGGAAGAAGTGAATGACTGAGCAGGACAGTTTAGCTTTGTGAAGAGTTGAGTTAGGGGAGAGATAAGCACAATGAAGTTCTAATTTGACCTTTAATAAAGTCTCTTGTCACATTCTGAACACTTTTCACGACTTTATATGAATTGTAATCAAGGAGTTACATAACACCTGGTGTAATAAAGAAATTAAATCTAATTTTATGATCCATATAACTTTGAGACAAAAAGAATTGCTGAAAAATGTGACCAAGACAAGTAGCTGTAGTGAAAAAATTAGTATTAATAAAGTTGGTGATGGTGAAAGTCTGTCAGTTCTTGTGCCTCTTGTCTTAGGACTCCCATTCAGCTTTGTGTAGCTCACTAGAGCTGAGATTCTTCCTGCTGCTCTTTAAGCACAACAACATCCACATGGGGAAATACACTTAAAATGAAGAGAGCTAGAGCTGAGGATGGACAGAAGGAAAAAGCCAGTGTAATCCCGGTTTCGGTTGCAAAGGAATCACTTAAGAGAGCGCAGTTATCATTTCCGCAGCTCCCATGCAGTTACAAATCTCTGTCTCAAAGATATCAGAGATTTTTTTAAAGCTATATTTTTTCTCTGGAGTAACCACCTGAGGGCAACATCACACATGCAATGGGACACGCAGGGCTCCTGTGCCTGGCATATTGCACTTGCTTCCAGGAACTGCATTACCAGAAAAATCATGACAAACGAGAAGCAGCACAAAGAACAGCAACAAAGATGATTAGGAGGCTGGACCTACTATGCAGAAAAACATTACAAAAGCAAAATCTAGTTTGCCTAAGGGTTGATTGATTAGGAGCAGGATCCTGGCCTCCAAATATTTGAAGAGTGAAGAGAAATTATTCAGCATAATAAAGGAAGATAGAACTATGAGTAATTGGTGGAAATGAGGCAAGGAAAATGTGCCTGGTCGTCTTGTATTTTTTCTACCTGTGAGATACAGGGCTGTGAGTTGGAGGTGTTCATATTCCGATTCTCTAATGAAAGATCAAGGCTCTGTCAGGGTTAGCATAGTATGGGCCAAGAATATAGACCCTTGGTCAAGAAGAGCAGCTCATAGTGTATGTGACAGTCAAGAGATGACTAGTGGGTAAAGCACATGAGTGTTGTGGAAGCAGGAAGATAGGGATACCACAAAATAAGAAATTGAAAAAGATAAGTCGTTCCTCCAAGAAAAGTGTCAGAAGTCACAGGAAATCTAAGTTGTT